AGCTTGTTCAACTTGTACCACTTGGACATATGCGGCTGGGAATAGTCCTGATTGACCACTCTGATTAAATCCCTCACACCAGCCATCTCCCACGTTATCTCGTATGACAGTTAAAAGTTCACCGGCAGTGATTGACAGCTCCGCCGTTCCTGACTCGCCCGTGAAGTCGTACAGCGCTCTCACCTACGAAGAGAAAGAACAAGAGGAAATAATAGCGGGCGTGTAAGAACAAAGAATCATCTCACACGCTCGTAACAACAGAATGAGTCATAGCGAGACTGGATTGATCGAACTCGGCAACTTAGGTTCTTTCACAAGGATTCTCCACGTACCTGCTGATTCTCCATCGTGCACGATTCGCGCGGCTGGACGCGATTCGCTGAGGGAATTCAAACTCCACCAAAAGGCTGCGCCTGGTCACATTTCCACTCCTCACCTCCCGCCGTCACGAATCGTCTGACATTTGCACGCTCGTATCTCGCGGCTCGCGGATAGTCGCGAGTAACCAGCTGGAGTCGCTGAGAATGACTGTACTGTCTGTACCCCGCAAAGAACAACAGTCCGTTCGCCTCTTATTGTTAATTGCACCTCCTACATTTCCCCTTCCCTTCGTCCATTCTACAATTTTATCGCTTTCCGTTTCCTCCCGTCGAAGCGTAGATATGTCTCGATATATCTATGAATTTAATATATCTTCGAATATTTCTCAGGTACGTTCACTCGTCGTTCCCTCTTGTTCCTTCGTTTTTCTTCGAGGGGTTGAATAAATAAATATCTATTTCATTTCGAACAGATGTCTCGTTTACGAAAAAGTGCAGCAGAAGCTACACGACGAACGAGGGAAATGGATTAGTCGTTATTATGCGGTCGCATTCACTGTCAACGATATGAACGGGACCGATAGCACTCTGGAAACGGATCGCTGCGTTAAACAATAAACATACCAACGGCACGATCGACAATTATCGTTTTGACGATTTGCCGCGCACGAGAGAAGGTTAGAGAAATCGAGAACCGGTACTCAGTGTTGCCAACGCGCTGATAGAAAAAAATCCCAAATCCTTCTAGAAAAAAAATCTTTACAACTCTTCAATTGTTCATCAGAAAACTGAAAAATCTTCAGTTTATTAATTTTATTGAGATTATTGGAAAATTGTCTACGAATGATAAAATTGTGACAAAAAATCTAGTCTGCTTTTTGTTCATGTTACGAGTACTGAAAATCTGTAGTTTATGTCACGTATACTATAGATTTTCAGTATTCCCAGTGAATAAAGATGCCTTTTCATGCTGACGCTCGACACTCATTTTTAGCGTCAAAACAGATGACGTGGTAATAATTCGACGAATATCAAGCGTTAATTTTGATCACATGACTTATTTGACGCTAGAAATGAGCGTCGAGCGTCAGCATGAAAAGGCACTTTAAGTTGTAGGAAATTAGTCAATCACAATTAAGTACAATTAAATGTAGAGGAATAATCGATTGATCAATTTTCTACAATTAGCACCAAATCTATTTACCGATACTACGATTTTATTAATAGTCGAAATGTGTGAACGTGGTTCACACAATTTATAAAATTGATGTTGGTGTCGCTAGTGTACGGTGGCTTTCGAGGCCACTGAAAGATACTACGTGAGAGATACCGGGATGGTTTTTCGGAATAGTTTCTTTCAGGTTTTTCTCTGCTTTTGTTTTCATGTGTAGAAAGCAAAATTATGGTACGATATTTTCTGAAGTTTTCGTACATTGGTACTCAATACAGGTATAATGCTAATTCTACAATGAGTCGATAGTCGGAAATCTTAAATCTTAACCAATTTTAATCTAAATAGGTGACTGATTTTTTTGCATCTGTGTTAATTATATAGTGAGTCGTTTAGCTCGATTAATGGGAAGGAATAAAATTGAATTTGATCAGTTTTAAGAAAAGTGGATAGTCGGTCGTATAAGTTGATTGTTGGCCAAACTTCATCGATAAGACTTAGGACTACCGACTACCGACTTATTGTAAAATCAGCTTTACACAATATTTATTTTTTAATATAAACTTATACATGAACTTATTGCTTGAATGACGTGAACGTGTGCGAATGCGAGCGACATTTAACTGTGAGGTTTATTACGATTTTGAGTGCGATAACTAGTGAGTTATTATACTCGTTTCATGTAGTTAAGTTTATATTTATAAATCAAGTCTCTTCTTAGCAAGACAGAAGTAATAAAATATTTTATTCTATTTTATAAACGTACATTTGGGCACGACGTTCACGGGTATATCTTTGTTTTGTGTGTGGAATTTGTATACCTTTTATTTCTTTTTATCATGTGACTTAACATTTTGTAAAGGGGTTTGCAAAGACAGAGTTCCGACAGTTTTATACGGAACACAGATTCTATCCAGGGTGCTTTAGAAACTGCTCTGCAAATCGTCAGACCAAAAAGTCTAATTGTTCCATCATTATGTCTCTCTAGCAGGTAGACTATTATATTTCATATTACTTTTGTATTGTGTAATCAACTTGCGTTAATTAATATACTTAGAAGATCTTATAACATTCTACCTAGTCAAAAATATTTTATATTTGTCATAAATATTTGATTTTATATAAGTGATGATTATACATGCATATATATATATATATATATATA